CGCTTCAAGCAGCACAGCAACACGACATGCCTCTCGCTCCCCACGCTTCAAGCAGCACAGCAACACGACATGCCTCTCGCTCCCCACGCTTCAAGCAGCACAGCAACACGACATGCCTCTCGCTCCCCACGCTTCAAGCAGCACAGCAACACGACATGCCTCTCGCTCCCCACGCTTCAAGCAGCACAGCAACACGACATGCCTCTCGCTCCCCACGCTTCAAGCAGCACAGCAACACGACATGCCTCTCGCTCCCCACGCTTCAAGCAGCACAGCAACACGACATGCCTCTCGCTCCCCACGCTTCAAGCAGCACAGCAACACGACATGCCTCTCGCTCCCCACGCTTCAAGCAGCACAGCAACACGACATGCCTCTCGCTCCCCACGCTTCAAGCAGCACAGCAACACGACATGCCTCTCGCTCCCCACGCTTCAAGCAGCACAGCAACACGACATGCCTCTCGCTCCCCACGCTTCAAGCAGCACAGCAACACGACATGCCTCTCGCTCCCCACGCTTCAAGCAGCACAGCAACACGACATGCCTCTCGCTCCCCACGCTTCAAGCAGCACAGCAACACGACATGCCTCTCGCTCCCCACGCTTCAAGCAGCACAGCAACACGACATGCCTCTCGCTCCCCACGCTTCAAGCAGCACAGCAACACGACATGCCTCTCGCTCCCCACGCTTCAAGCAGCACAGCAACACGACATGCCTCTCGCTCCCCACGCTTCAAGCAGCACAGCAACACGACATGCCTCTCGCTCCCCACGCTTCAAGCAGCACAGCAACACGACATGCCTCTCGCTCCCCACGCTTCAAGCAGCACAGCAACACGACATGCCTCTCGCTCCCCACGCTTCAAGCAGCACAGCAACACGACATGCCTCTCGCTCCCCACGCTTCAAGCAGCACAGCAACACGACATGCCTCTCGCTCCCCACGCTTCAAGCAGCACAGCAACACGACATGCCTCTCGCTCCCCACGCTTCAAGCAGCACAGCAACACGACATGCCTCTCGCTCCCCACGCTTCAAGCAGCACAGCAACACGACATGCCTCTCGCTCCCCACGCTTCAAGCAGCACAGCAACACGACATGCCTCTCGCTCCCCACGCTTCAAGCAGCACAGCAACACGACATGCCTCTCGCTCCCCACGCTTCAAGCAGCACAGCAACACGACATGCCTCTCGCTCCCCACGCTTCAAGCAGCACAGCAACACGACATGCCTCTCGCTCCCCACGCTTCAAGCAGCACAGCAACACGACATGCCTCTCGCTCCCCACGCTTCAAGCAGCACAGCAACACGACATGCCTCTCGCTCCCCACGCTTCAAGCAGCACAGCAACACGACATGCCTCTCGCTCCCCACGCTTCAAGCAGCACAGCAACACGACATGCCTCTCGCTCCCCACGCTTCAAGCAGCACAGCAACACGACATGCCTCTCGCTCCCCACGCTTCAAGCAGCACAGCAACACGACATGCCTCTCGCTCCCCACGCTTCAAGCAGCACAGCAACACGACATGCCTCTCGCTCCCCACGCTTCAAGCAGCACAGCAACACGACATGCCTCTCGCTCCCCACGCTTCAAGCAGCACAGCAACACGACATGCCTCTCGCTCCCCACGCTTCAAGCAGCACAGCAACACGACATGCCTCTCGCTCCCCACGCTTCAAGCAGCACAGCAACACGACATGCCTCTCGCTCCCCACGCTTCAAGCAGCACAGCAACACGACATGCCTCTCGCTCCCCACGCTTCAAGCAGCACAGCAACACGACATGCCTCTCGCTCCCCACGCTTCAAGCAGCACAGCAACACGACATGCCTCTCGCTCCCCACGCTTCAAGCAGCACAGCAACACGACATGCCTCTCGCTCCCCACGCTTCAAGCAGCACAGCAACACGACATGCCTCTCGCTCCCCACGCTTCAAGCAGCACAGCAACACGACATGCCTCTCGCTCCCCACGCTTCAAGCAGCACAGCAACACGACATGCCTCTCGCTCCCCACGCTTCAAGCAGCACAGCAACACGACATGCCTCTCGCTCCCCACGCTTCAAGCAGCACAGCAACACGACATGCCTCTCGCTCCCCACGCTTCAAGCAGCACAGCAACACGACATGCCTCTCGCTCCCCACGCTTCAAGCAGCACAGCAACACGACATGCCTCTCGCTCCCCACGCTTCAAGCAGCACAGCAACACGACATGCCTCTCGCTCCCCACGCTTCAAGCAGCACAGCAACACGACATGCCTCTCGCTCCCCACGCTTCAAGCAGCACAGCAACACGACATGCCTCTCGCTCCCCACGCTTCAAGCAGCACAGCAACACGACATGCCTCTCGCTCCCCACGCTTCAAGCAGCACAGCAACACGACATGCCTCTCGCTCCCCACGCTTCAAGCAGCACAGCAACACGACATGCCTCTCGCTCCCCACGCTTCAAGCAGCACAGCAACACGACATGCCTCTCGCTCCCCACGCTTCAAGCAGCACAGCAACACGACATGCCTCTCGCTCCCCACGCTTCAAGCAGCACAGCAACACGACATGCCTCTCGCTCCCCACGCTTCAAGCAGCACAGCAACACGACATGCCTCTCGCTCCCCACGCTTCAAGCAGCACAGCAACACGACATGCCTCTCGCTCCCCACGCTTCAAGCAGCACAGCAACACGACATGCCTCTCGCTCCCCACGCTTCAAGCAGCACAGCAACACGACATGCCTCTCGCTCCCCACGCTTCAAGCAGCACAGCAACACGACATGCCTCTCGCTCCCCACGCTTCAAGCAGCACAGCAACACGACATGCCTCTCGCTCCCCACGCTTCAAGCAGCACAGCAACACGACATGCCTCTCGCTCCCCACGCTTCAAGCAGCACAGCAACACGACATGCCTCTCGCTCCCCACGCTTCAAGCAGCACAGCAACACGACATGCCTCTCGCTCCCCACGCTTCAAGCAGCACAGCAACACGACATGCCTCTCGCTCCCCACGCTTCAAGCAGCACAGCAACACGACATGCCTCTCGCTCCCCACGCTTCAAGCAGCACAGCAACACGACATGCCTCTCGCTCCCCACGCTTCAAGCAGCACAGCAACACGACATGCCTCTCGCTCCCCACGCTTCAAGCAGCACAGCAACACGACATGCCTCTCGCTCCCCACGCTTCAAGCAGCACAGCAACACGACATGCCTCTCGCTCCCCACGCTTCAAGCAGCACAGCAACACGACATGCCTCTCGCTCCCCACGCTTCAAGCAGCACAGCAACACGACATGCCTCTCGCTCCCCACGCTTCAAGCAGCACAGCAACACGACATGCCTCTCGCTCCCCACGCTTCAAGCAGCACAGCAACACGACATGCCTCTCGCTCCCCACGCTTCAAGCAGCACAGCAACACGACATGCCTCTCGCTCCCCACGCTTCAAGCAGCACAGCAACACGACATGCCTCTCGCTCCCCACGCTTCAAGCAGCACAGCAACACGACATGCCTCTCGCTCCCCACGCTTCAAGCAGCACAGCAACACGACATGCCTCTCGCTCCCCACGCTTCAAGCAGCACAGCAACACGACATGCCTCTCGCTCCCCACGCTTCAAGCAGCACAGCAACACGACATGCCTCTCGCTCCCCACGCTTCAAGCAGCACAGCAACACGACATGCCTCTCGCTCCCCACGCTTCAAGCAGCACAGCAACACGACATGCCTCTCGCTCCCCACGCTTCAAGCAGCACAGCAACACGACATGCCTCTCGCTCCCCACGCTTCAAGCAGCACAGCAACACGACATGCCTCTCGCTCCCCACGCTTCAAGCAGCACAGCAACACGACATGCCTCTCGCTCCCCACGCTTCAAGCAGCACAGCAACACGACATGCCTCTCGCTCCCCACGCTTCAAGCAGCACAGCAACACGACATGCCTCTCGCTCCCCACGCTTCAAGCAGCACAGCAACACGACATGCCTCTCGCTCCCCACGCTTCAAGCAGCACAGCAACACGACATGCCTCTCGCTCCCCACGCTTCAAGCAGCACAGCAACACGACATGCCTCTCGCTCCCCACGCTTCAAGCAGCACAGCAACACGACATGCCTCTCGCTCCCCACGCTTCAAGCAGCACAGCAACACGACATGCCTCTCGCTCCCCACGCTTCAAGCAGCACAGCAACACGACATGCCTCTCGCTCCCCACGCTTCAAGCAGCACAGCAACACGACATGCCTCTCGCTCCCCACGCTTCAAGCAGCACAGCAACACGACATGCCTCTCGCTCCCCACGCTTCAAGCAGCACAGCAACACGACATGCCTCTCGCTCCCCACGCTTCAAGCAGCACAGCAACACGACATGCCTCTCGCTCCCCACGCTTCAAGCAGCACAGCAACACGACATGCCTCTCGCTCCCCACGCTTCAAGCAGCACAGCAACACGACATGCCTCTCGCTCCCCACGCTTCAAGCAGCACAGCAACACGACATGCCTCTCGCTCCCCACGCTTCAAGCAGCACAGCAACACGACATGCCTCTCGCTCCCCACGCTTCAAGCAGCACAGCAACACGACATGCCTCTCGCTCCCCACGCTTCAAGCAGCACAGCAACACGACATGCCTCTCGCTCCCCACGCTTCAAGCAGCACAGCAACACGACATGCCTCTCGCTCCCCACGCTTCAAGCAGCACAGCAACACGACATGCCTCTCGCTCCCCACGCTTCAAGCAGCACAGCAACACGACATGCCTCTCGCTCCCCACGCTTCAAGCAGCACAGCAACACGACATGCCTCTCGCTCCCCACGCTTCAAGCAGCACAGCAACACGACATGCCTCTCGCTCCCCACGCTTCAAGCAGCACAGCAACACGACATGCCTCTCGCTCCCCACGCTTCAAGCAGCACAGCAACACGACATGCCTCTCGCTCCCCACGCTTCAAGCAGCACAGCAACACGACATGCCTCTCGCTCCCCACGCTTCAAGCAGCACAGCAACACGACATGCCTCTCGCTCCCCACGCTTCAAGCAGCACAGCAACACGACATGCCTCTCGCTCCCCACGCTTCAAGCAGCACAGCAACACGACATGCCTCTCGCTCCCCACGCTTCAAGCAGCACAGCAACACGACATGCCTCTCGCTCCCCACGCTTCAAGCAGCACAGCAACACGACATGCCTCTCGCTCCCCACGCTTCAAGCAGCACAGCAACACGACATGCCTCTCGCTCCCCACGCTTCAAGCAGCACAGCAACACGACATGCCTCTCGCTCCCCACGCTTCAAGCAGCACAGCAACACGACATGCCTCTCGCTCCCCACGCTTCAAGCAGCACAGCAACACGACATGCCTCTCGCTCCCCACGCTTCAAGCAGCACAGCAACACGACATGCCTCTCGCTCCCCACGCTTCAAGCAGCACAGCAACACGACATGCCTCTCGCTCCCCACGCTTCAAGCAGCACAGCAACACGACATGCCTCTCGCTCCCCACGCTTCAAGCAGCACAGCAACACGACATGCCTCTCGCTCCCCACGCTTCAAGCAGCACAGCAACACGACATGCCTCTCGCTCCCCACGCTTCAAGCAGCACAGCAACACGACATGCCTCTCGCTCCCCACGCTTCAAGCAGCACAGCAACACGACATGCCTCTCGCTCCCCACGCTTCAAGCAGCACAGCAACACGACATGCCTCTCGCTCCCCACGCTTCAAGCAGCACAGCAACACGACATGCCTCTCGCTCCCCACGCTTCAAGCAGCACAGCAACACGACATGCCTCTCGCTCCCCACGCTTCAAGCAGCACAGCAACACGACATGCCTCTCGCTCCCCACGCTTCAAGCAGCACAGCAACACGACATGCCTCTCGCTCCCCACGCTTCAAGCAGCACAGCAACACGACATGCCTCTCGCTCCCCACGCTTCAAGCAGCACAGCAACACGACATGCCTCTCGCTCCCCACGCTTCAAGCAGCACAGCAACACGACATGCCTCTCGCTCCCCACGCTTCAAGCAGCACAGCAACACGACATGCCTCTCGCTCCCCACGCTTCAAGCAGCACAGCAACACGACATGCCTCTCGCTCCCCACGCTTCAAGCAGCACAGCAACACGACATGCCTCTCGCTCCCCACGCTTCAAGCAGCACAGCAACACGACATGCCTCTCGCTCCCCACGCTTCAAGCAGCACAGCAACACGACATGCCTCTCGCTCCCCACGCTTCAAGCAGCACAGCAACACGACATGCCTCTCGCTCCCCACGCTTCAAGCAGCACAGCAACACGACATGCCTCTCGCTCCCCACGCTTCAAGCAGCACAGCAACACGACATGCCTCTCGCTCCCCACGCTTCAAGCAGCACAGCAACACGACATGCCTCTCGCTCCCCACGCTTCAAGCAGCACAGCAACACGACATGCCTCTCGCTCCCCACGCTTCAAGCAGCACAGCAACACGACATGCCTCTCGCTCCCCACGCTTCAAGCAGCACAGCAACACGACATGCCTCTCGCTCCCCACGCTTCAAGCAGCACAGCAACACGACATGCCTCTCGCTCCCCACGCTTCAAGCAGCACAGCAACACGACATGCCTCTCGCTCCCCACGCTTCAAGCAGCACAGCAACACGACATGCCTCTCGCTCCCCACGCTTCAAGCAGCACAGCAACACGACATGCCTCTCGCTCCCCACGCTTCAAGCAGCACAGCAACACGACATGCCTCTCGCTCCCCACGCTTCAAGCAGCACAGCAACACGACATGCCTCTCGCTCCCCACGCTTCAAGCAGCACAGCAACACGACATGCCTCTCGCTCCCCACGCTTCAAGCAGCACAGCAACACGACATGCCTCTCGCTCCCCACGCTTCAAGCAGCACAGCAACACGACATGCCTCTCGCTCCCCACGCTTCAAGCAGCACAGCAACACGACATGCCTCTCGCTCCCCACGCTTCAAGCAGCACAGCAACACGACATGCCTCTCGCTCCCCACGCTTCAAGCAGCACAGCAACACGACATGCCTCTCGCTCCCCACGCTTCAAGCAGCACAGCAACACGACATGCCTCTCGCTCCCCACGCTTCAAGCAGCACAGCAACACGACATGCCTCTCGCTCCCCACGCTTCAAGCAGCACAGCAACACGACATGCCTCTCGCTCCCCACGCTTCAAGCAGCACAGCAACACGACATGCCTCTCGCTCCCCACGCTTCAAGCAGCACAGCAACACGACATGCCTCTCGCTCCCCACGCTTCAAGCAGCACAGCAACACGACATGCCTCTCGCTCCCCACGCTTCAAGCAGCACAGCAACACGACATGCCTCTCGCTCCCCACGCTTCAAGCAGCACAGCAACACGACATGCCTCTCGCTCCCCACGCTTCAAGCAGCACAGCAACACGACATGCCTCTCGCTCCCCACGCTTCAAGCAGCACAGCAACACGACATGCCTCTCGCTCCCCACGCTTCAAGCAGCACAGCAACACGACATGCCTCTCGCTCCCCACGCTTCAAGCAGCACAGCAACACGACATGCCTCTCGCTCCCCACGCTTCAAGCAGCACAGCAACACGACATGCCTCTCGCTCCCCACGCTTCAAGCAGCACAGCAACACGACATGCCTCTCGCTCCCCACGCTTCAAGCAGCACAGCAACACGACATGCCTCTCGCTCCCCACGCTTCAAGCAGCACAGCAACACGACATGCCTCTCGCTCCCCACGCTTCAAGCAGCACAGCAACACGACATGCCTCTCGCTCCCCACGCTTCAAGCAGCACAGCAACACGACATGCCTCTCGCTCCCCACGCTTCAAGCAGCACAGCAACACGACATGCCTCTCGCTCCCCACGCTTCAAGCAGCACAGCAACACGACATGCCTCTCGCTCCCCACGCTTCAAGCAGCACAGCAACACGACATGCCTCTCGCTCCCCACGCTTCAAGCAGCACAGCAACACGACATGCCTCTCGCTCCCCACGCTTCAAGCAGCACAGCAACACGACATGCCTCTCGCTCCCCACGCTTCAAGCAGCACAGCAACACGACATGCCTCTCGCTCCCCACGCTTCAAGCAGCACAGCAACACGACATGCCTCTCGCTCCCCACGCTTCAAGCAGCACAGCAACACGACATGCCTCTCGCTCCCCACGCTTCAAGCAGCACAGCAACACGACATGCCTCTCGCTCCCCACGCTTCAAGCAGCACAGCAACACGACATGCCTCTCGCTCCCCACGCTTCAAGCAGCACAGCAACACGACATGCCTCTCGCTCCCCACGCTTCAAGCAGCACAGCAACACGACATGCCTCTCGCTCCCCACGCTTCAAGCAGCACAGCAACACGACATGCCTCTCGCTCCCCACGCTTCAAGCAGCACAGCAACACGACATGCCTCTCGCTCCCCACGCTTCAAGCAGCACAGCAACACGACATGCCTCTCGCTCCCCACGCTTCAAGCAGCACAGCAACACGACATGCCTCTCGCTCCCCACGCTTCAAGCAGCACAGCAACACGACATGCCTCTCGCTCCCCACGCTTCAAGCAGCACAGCAACACGACATGCCTCTCGCTCCCCACGCTTCAAGCAGCACAGCAACACGACATGCCTCTCGCTCCCCACGCTTCAAGCAGCACAGCAACACGACATGCCTCTCGCTCCCCACGCTTCAAGCAGCACAGCAACACGACATGCCTCTCGCTCCCCACGCTTCAAGCAGCACAGCAACACGACATGCCTCTCGCTCCCCACGCTTCAAGCAGCACAGCAACACGACATGCCTCTCGCTCCCCACGCTTCAAGCAGCACAGCAACACGACATGCCTCTCGCTCCCCACGCTTCAAGCAGCACAGCAACACGACATGCCTCTCGCTCCCCACGCTTCAAGCAGCACAGCAACACGACATGCCTCTCGCTCCCCACGCTTCAAGCAGCACAGCAACACGACATGCCTCTCGCTCCCCACGCTTCAAGCAGCACAGCAACACGACATGCCTCTCGCTCCCCACGCTTCAAGCAGCACAGCAACACGACATGCCTCTCGCTCCCCACGCTTCAAGCAGCACAGCAACACGACATGCCTCTCGCTCCCCACGCTTCAAGCAGCACAGCAACACGACATGCCTCTCGCTCCCCACGCTTCAAGCAGCACAGCAACACGACATGCCTCTCGCTCCCCACGCTTCAAGCAGCACAGCAACACGACATGCCTCTCGCTCCCCACGCTTCAAGCAGCACAGCAACACGACATGCCTCTCGCTCCCCACGCTTCAAGCAGCACAGCAACACGACATGCCTCTCGCTCCCCACGCTTCAAGCAGCACAGCAACACGACATGCCTCTCGCTCCCCACGCTTCAAGCAGCACAGCAACACGACATGCCTCTCGCTCCCCACGCTTCAAGCAGCACAGCAACACGACATGCCTCTCGCTCCCCACGCTTCAAGCAGCACAGCAACACGACATGCCTCTCGCTCCCCACGCTTCAAGCAGCACAGCAACACGACATGCCTCTCGCTCCCCACGCTTCAAGCAGCACAGCAACACGACATGCCTCTCGCTCCCCACGCTTCAAGCAGCACAGCAACACGACATGCCTCTCGCTCCCCACGCTTCAAGCAGCACAGCAACACGACATGCCTCTCGCTCCCCACGCTTCAAGCAGCACAGCAACACGACATGCCTCTCGCTCCCCACGCTTCAAGCAGCACAGCAACACGACATGCCTCTCGCTCCCCACGCTTCAAGCAGCACAGCAACACGACATGCCTCTCGCTCCCCACGCTTCAAGCAGCACAGCAACACGACATGCCTCTCGCTCCCCACGCTTCAAGCAGCACAGCAACACGACATGCCTCTCGCTCCCCACGCTTCAAGCAGCACAGCAACACGACATGCCTCTCGCTCCCCACGCTTCAAGCAGCACAGCAACACGACATGCCTCTCGCTCCCCACGCTTCAAGCAGCACAGCAACACGACATGCCTCTCGCTCCCCACGCTTCAAGCAGCACAGCAACACGACATGCCTCTCGCTCCCCACGCTTCAAGCAGCACAGCAACACGACATGCCTCTCGCTCCCCACGCTTCAAGCAGCACAGCAACACGACATGCCTCTCGCTCCCCACGCTTCAAGCAGCACAGCAACACGACATGCCTCTCGCTCCCCACGCTTCAAGCAGCACAGCAACACGACATGCCTCTCGCTCCCCACGCTTCAAGCAGCACAGCAACACGACATGCCTCTCGCTCCCCACGCTTCAAGCAGCACAGCAACACGACATGCCTCTCGCTCCCCACGCTTCAAGCAGCACAGCAACACGACATGCCTCTCGCTCCCCACGCTTCAAGCAGCACAGCAACACGACATGCCTCTCGCTCCCCACGCTTCAAGCAGCACAGCAACACGACATGCCTCTCGCTCCCCACGCTTCAAGCAGCACAGCAACACGACATGCCTCTCGCTCCCCACGCTTCAAGCAGCACAGCAACACGACATGCCTCTCGCTCCCCACGCTTCAAGCAGCACAGCAACACGACATGCCTCTCGCTCCCCACGCTTCAAGCAGCACAGCAACACGACATGCCTCTCGCTCCCCACGCTTCAAGCAGCACAGCAACACGACATGCCTCTCGCTCCCCACGCTTCAAGCAGCACAGCAACACGACATGCCTCTCGCTCCCCACGCTTCAAGCAGCACAGCAACACGACATGCCTCTCGCTCCCCACGCTTCAAGCAGCACAGCAACACGACATGCCTCTCGCTCCCCACGCTTCAAGCAGCACAGCAACACGACATGCCTCTCGCTCCCCACGCTTCAAGCAGCACAGCAACACGACATGCCTCTCGCTCCCCACGCTTCAAGCAGCACAGCAACACGACATGCCTCTCGCTCCCCACGCTTCAAGCAGCACAGCAACACGACATGCCTCTCGCTCCCCACGCTTCAAGCAGCACAGCAACACGACATGCCTCTCGCTCCCCACGCTTCAAGCAGCACAGCAACACGACATGCCTCTCGCTCCCCACGCTTCAAGCAGCACAGCAACACGACATGCCTCTCGCTCCCCACGCTTCAAGCAGCACAGCAACACGACATGCCTCTCGCTCCCCACGCTTCAAGCAGCACAGCAACACGACATGCCTCTCGCTCCCCACGCTTCAAGCAGCACAGCAACACGACATGCCTCTCGCTCCCCACGCTTCAAGCAGCACAGCAACACGACATGCCTCTCGCTCCCCACGCTTCAAGCAGCACAGCAACACGACATGCCTCTCGCTCCCCACGCTTCAAGCAGCACAGCAACACGACATGCCTCTCGCTCCCCACGCTTCAAGCAGCACAGCAACACGACATGCCTCTCGCTCCCCACGCTTCAAGCAGCACAGCAACACGACATGCCTCTCGCTCCCCACGCTTCAAGCAGCACAGCAACACGACATGCCTCTCGCTCCCCACGCTTCAAGCAGCACAGCAACACGACATGCCTCTCGCTCCCCACGCTTCAAGCAGCACAGCAACACGACATGCCTCTCGCTCCCCACGCTTCAAGCAGCACAGCAACACGACATGCCTCTCGCTCCCCACGCTTCAAGCAGCACAGCAACACGACATGCCTCTCGCTCCCCACGCTTCAAGCAGCACAGCAACACGACATGCCTCTCGCTCCCCACGCTTCAAGCAGCACAGCAACACGACATGCCTCTCGCTCCCCACGCTTCAAGCAGCACAGCAACACGACATGCCTCTCGCTCCCCACGCTTCAAGCAGCACAGCAACACGACATGCCTCTCGCTCCCCACGCTTCAAGCAGCACAGCAACACGACATGCCTCTCGCTCCCCACGCTTCAAGCAGCACAGCAACACGACATGCCTCTCGCTCCCCACGCTTCAAGCAGCACAGCAACACGACATGCCTCTCGCTCCCCACGCTTCAAGCAGCACAGCAACACGACATGCCTCTCGCTCCCCACGCTTCAAGCAGCACAGCAACACGACATGCCTCTCGCTCCCCACGCTTCAAGCAGCACAGCAACACGACATGCCTCTCGCTCCCCACGCTTCAAGCAGCACAGCAACACGACATGCCTCTCGCTCCCCACGCTTCAAGCAGCACAGCAACACGACATGCCTCTCGCTCCCCACGCTTCAAGCAGCACAGCAACACGACATGCCTCTCGCTCCCCACGCTTCAAGCAGCACAGCAACACGACATGCCTCTCGCTCCCCACGCTTCAAGCAGCACAGCAACACGACATGCCTCTCGCTCCCCACGCTTCAAGCAGCACAGCAACACGACATGCCTCTCGCTCCCCACGCTTCAAGCAGCACAGCAACACGACATGCCTCTCGCTCCCCACGCTTCAAGCAGCACAGCAACACGACATGCCTCTCGCTCCCCACGCTTCAAGCAGCACAGCAACACGACATGCCTCTCGCTCCCCACGCTTCAAGCAGCACAGCAACACGACATGCCTCTCGCTCCCCACGCTTCAAGCAGCACAGCAACACGACATGCCTCTCGCTCCCCACGCTTCAAGCAGCACAGCAACACGACATGCCTCTCGCTCCCCACGCTTCAAGCAGCACAGCAACACGACATGCCTCTCGCTCCCCACGCTTCAAGCAGCACAGCAACACGACATGCCTCTCGCTCCCCACGCTTCAAGCAGCACAGCAACACGACATGCCTCTCGCTCCCCACGCTTCAAGCAGCACAGCAACACGACATGCCTCTCGCTCCCCACGCTTCAAGCAGCACAGCAACACGACATGCCTCTCGCTCCCCACGCTTCAAGCAGCACAGCAACACGACATGCCTCTCGCTCCCCACGCTTCAAGCAGCACAGCAACACGACATGCCTCTCGCTCCCCACGCTTCAAGCAGCACAGCAACACGACATGCCTCTCGCTCCCCACGCTTCAAGCAGCACAGCAACACGACATGCCTCTCGCTCCCCACGCTTCAAGCAGCACAGCAACACGACATGCCTCTCGCTCCCCACGCTTCAAGCAGCACAGCAACACGACATGCCTCTCGCTCCCCACGCTTCAAGCAGCACAGCAACACGACATGCCTCTCGCTCCCCACGCTTCAAGCAGCACAGCAACACGACATGCCTCTCGCTCCCCACGCTTCAAGCAGCACAGCAACACGACATGCCTCTCGCTCCCCACGCTTCAAGCAGCACAGCAACACGACATGCCTCTCGCTCCCCACGCTTCAAGCAGCACAGCAACACGACATGCCTCTCGCTCCCCACGCTTCAAGCAGCACAGCAACACGACATGCCTCTCGCTCCCCACGCTTCAAGCAGCACAGCAACACGACATGCCTCTCGCTCCCCACGCTTCAAGCAGCACAGCAACACGACATGCCTCTCGCTCCCCACGCTTCAAGCAGCACAGCAACACGACATGCCTCTCGCTCCCCACGCTTCAAGCAGCACAGCAACACGACATGCCTCTCGCTCCCCACGCTTCAAGCAGCACAGCAACACGACATGCCTCTCGCTCCCCACGCTTCAAGCAGCACAGCAACACGACATGCCTCTCGCTCCCCACGCTTCAAGCAGCACAGCAACACGACATGCCTCTCGCTCCCCACGCTTCAAGCAGCACAGCAACACGACATGCCTCTCGCTCCCCACGCTTCAAGCAGCACAGCAACACGACATGCCTCTCGCTCCCCACGCTTCAAGCAGCACAGCAACACGACATGCCTCTCGCTCCCCACGCTTCAAGCAGCACAGCAACACGACATGCCTCTCGCTCCCCACGCTTCAAGCAGCACAGCAACACGACATGCCTCTCGCTCCCCACGCTTCAAGCAGCACAGCAACACGACATGCCTCTCGCTCCCCACGCTTCAAGCAGCACAGCAACACGACATGCCTCTCGCTCCCCACGCTTCAAGCAGCACAGCAACACGACATGCCTCTCGCTCCCCACGCTTCAAGCAGCACAGCAACACGACATGCCTCTCGCTCCCCACGCTTCAAGCAGCACAGCAACACGACATGCCTCTCGCTCCCCACGCTTCAAGCAGCACAGCAACACGACATGCCTCTCGCTCCCCACGCTTCAAGCAGCACAGCAACACGACATGCCTCTCGCTCCCCACGCTTCAAGCAGCACAGCAACACGACATGCCTCTCGCTCCCCACGCTTCAAGCAGCACAGCAACACGACATGCCTCTCGCTCCCCACGCTTCAAGCAGCACAGCAACACGACATGCCTCTCGCTCCCCACGCTTCAAGCAGCACAGCAACACGACATGCCTCTCGCTCCCCACGCTTCAAGCAGCACAGCAACACGACATGCCTCTCGCTCCCCACGCTTCAAGCAGCACAGCAACACGACATGCCTCTCGCTCCCCACGCTTCAAGCAGCACAGCAACACGACATGCCTCTCGCTCCCCACGCTTCAAGCAGCACAGCAACACGACATGCCTCTCGCTCCCCACGCTTCAAGCAGCACAGCAACACGACATGCCTCTCGCTCCCCACGCTTCAAGCAGCACAGCAACACGACATGCCTCTCGCTCCCCACGCTTCAAGCAGCACAGCAACACGACATGCCTCTCGCTCCCCACGCTTCAAGCAGCACAGCAACACGACATGCCTCTCGCTCCCCACGCTTCAAGCAGCACAGCAACACGACATGCCTCTCGCTCCCCACGCTTCAAGCAGCACAGCAACACGACATGCCTCTCGCTCCCCACGCTTCAAGCAGCACAGCAACACGACATGCCTCTCGCTCCCCACGCTTCAAGCAGCACAGCAACACGACATGCCTCTCGCTCCCCACGCTTCAAGCAGCACAGCAACACGACATGCCTCTCGCTCCCCACGCTTCAAGCAGCACAGCAACACGACATGCCTCTCGCTCCCCACGCTTCAAGCAGCACAGCAACACGACATGCCTCTCGCTCCCCACGCTTCAAGCAGCACAGCAACACGACATGCCTCTCGCTCCCCACGCTTCAAGCAGCACAGCAACACGACATGCCTCTCGCTCCCCACGCTTCAAGCAGCACAGCAACACGACATGCCTCTCGCTCCCCACGCTTCAAGCAGCACAGCAACACGACATGCCTCTCGCTCCCCACGCTTCAAGCAGCACAGCAACACGACATGCCTCTCGCTCCCCACGCTTCAAGCAGCACAGCAACACGACATGCCTCTCGCTCCCCACGCTTCAAGCAGCACAGCAACACGACATGCCTCTCGCTCCCCACGCTTCAAGCAGCACAGCAACCGCATGCCTGCCTCTCGCTCCCCACGCTTCAAGCAGCACAGCAACACGACATGCCTCTCGCTCCCCACGCTTCAAGCAGCACAGCAACACGACATGCCTCTCGCTCCCCACGCTTCAAGCAGCACAGCAACACGACATGCCTCTCGCTCCCCACGCTTCAAGCAGCACAGCAACACGACATGCCTCTCGCTCCCCACGCTTCAAGCAGCACAGCAACACGACATGCCTCTCGCTCCCCACGCTTCAAGCAGCACAGCAACACGACATGCCTCTCGCTCCCCACGCTTCAAGCAGCACAGCAACACGACATGCCTCTCGCTCCCCACGCTTCAAGCAGCACAGCAACACGACATGCCTCTCGCTCCCCACGCTTCAAGCAGCACAGCAACACGACATGCCTCTCGCTCCCCACGCTTCAAGCAGCACAGCAACACGACATGCCTCTCGCTCCCCACGCTTCAAGCAGCACAGCAACACGACATGCCTCTCGCTCCCCACGCTTCAAGCAGCACAGCAACACGACATGCCTCTCGCTCCCCACGCTTCAAGCAGCACAGCAACACGCCTGCCTCTCGCTCCCCACGCTTCAAGCAGCACAGCAACACGACATGCCTCTCGCTCCCCACGCTTCAAGCAGCACAGCAACACGACATGCCTCTCGCTCCCCACGCTTCAAGCAGCACAGCAACACGACATGCCTCTCGCTCCCCACGCTTCAAGCAGCACAGCAACACGACATGCCTCTCGCTCCCCACGCTTCAAGCAGCACAGCAACACGACATGCCTCTCGCTCCCCACGCTTCAAGCAGCACAGCAACACGACATGCCTCTCGCTCCCCACGCTTCAAGCAGCACAGCAACACGACATGCCTCTCGCTCCCCACGCTTCAAGCAGCACAGCAACACGACATGCCTCTCGCTCCCCACGCTTCAAGCAGCACAGCAACACGACATGCCTCTCGCTCCCCACGCTTCAAGCAGCACAGCAGCACACGCCATGCCTCTCGCTCCCCACGCTTCAAGCAGCACAGCAACACGACATGCCTCTCGCTCCCCACGCTTCAAGCAGCACAGCAACACGACATGCCTCTCGCTCCCCACGCTTCAAGCAGCACAGCAACACGACATGCCTCTCGCTCCCCACGCTTCAAGCAGCACAGCAACACGACATGCCTCTCGCTCCCCACGCTTCAAGCAGCACAGCAACACGACATGCCTCTCGCTCCCCACGCTTCAAGCAGCACAGCAACACGACATGCCTCTCGCTCCCCACGCTTCAAGCAGCACAGCAACACGACATGCCTCTCGCTCCCCACGCTTCAAGCAGCACAGCAACACGACATGCCTCTCGCTCCCCACGCTTCAAGCAGCACAGCAACACGACATGCCTCTCGCTCCCCACGCTTCAAGCAGCACAGCAACACGACATGCCTCTCGCTCCCCACGCTTCAAGCAGCACAGCAACACGACATGCCTCTCGCTCCCCACGCTTCAAGCAGCACAGCAACACGACATGCCTCTCGCTCCCCACGCTTCAAGCAGCACAGCAACACGACATGCCTCTCGCTCCCCACGCTTCAAGCAGCACAGCAACACGACATGCCTCTCGCTCCCCACGCTTCAAGCAGCACAGCAACACGACATGCCTCTCGCTCCCCACGCTTCAAGCAGCACAGCAACACGACATGCCTCTCGCTCCCCACGCTTCAAGCAGCACAGCAACACGACATGCCTCTCGCTCCCCACGCTTCAAGCAGCACAGCAACACGACATGCCTCTCGCTCCCCACGCTTCAAGCAGCACAGCAACACGACATGCCTCTCGCTCCCCACGCTTCAAGCAGCACAGCAACACGACATGCCTCTCGCTCCCCACGCTTCAAGCAGCACAGCAACACGACATGCCTCTCGCTCCCCACGCTTCAAGCAGCACAGCAACACGACATGCCTCTCGCTCCCCACGCTTCAAGCAGCACAGCAACACGACATGCCTCTCGCTCCCCACGCTTCAAGCAGCACAGCAACACGACATGCCTCTCGCTCCCCACGCTTCAAGCAGCACAGCAACACGACATGCCTCTCGCTCCCCACGCTTCAAGCAGCACAGCAACACGACATGCCTCTCGCTCCCCACGCTTCAAGCAGCACAGCAACACGACATGCCTCTCGCTCCCCACGCTTCAAGCAGCACAGCAACACGACATGCCTCTCGCTCCCCACGCTTCAAGCAGCACAGCAACACGACATGCCTCTCGCTCCCCACGCTTCAAGCAGCACAGCAACACGACATGCCTCTCGCTCCCCACGCTTCAAGCAGCACAGCAACACGACATGCCTCTCGCTCCCCACGCTTCAAGCAGCACAGCAACACGACATGCCTCTCGCTCCCCACGCTTCAAGCAGCACAGCAACACGACATGCCTCTCGCTCCCCACGCTTCAAGCAGCACAGCAACACGACATGCCTCTCGCTCCCCACGCTTCAAGCAGCACAGCAACACGACATGCCTCTCGCTCCCCACGCTTCAAGCAGCACAGCAACACGACATGCCTCTCGCTCCCCACGCTTCAAGCAGCACAGCAACACGACATGCCTCTCGCTCCCCACGCTTCAAGCAGCACAGCAACACGACATGCCTCTCGCTCCCCACGCTTCAAGCAGCACAGCAACACGACATGCCTCTCGCTCCCCACGCTTCAAGCAGCACAGCAACACGACATGCCTCTCGCTCCCCACGCTTCAAGCAGCACAGCAACACGACATGCCTCTCGCTCCCCACGCTTCAAGCAGCACAGCAACACGACATGCCTCTCGCTCCCCACGCTTCAAGCAGCACAGCAACACGACATGCCTCTCGCTCCCCACGCTTCAAGCAGCACAGCAACACGACATGCCTCTCGCTCCCCACGCTTCAAGCAGCACAGCAACACGACATGCCTCTCGCTCCCCACGCTTCAAGCAGCACAGCAACACGACATGCCTCTCGCTCCCCACGCTTCAAGCAGCACAGCAACACGACATGCCTCTCGCTCCCCACGCTTCAAGCAGCACAGCAACACGACATGCCTCTCGCTCCCCACGCTTCAAGCAGCACAGCAACACGACATGCCTCTCGCTCCCCACGCTTCAAGCAGCACAGCAACACGACATGCCTCTCGCTCCCCACGCTTCAAGCAGCACAGCAACACGACATGCCTCTCGCTCCCCACGCTTCAAGCAGCACAGCAACACGACATGCCTCTCGCTCCCCACGCTTCAAGCAGCACAGCAACACGACATGCCTCTCGCTCCCCACGCTTCAAGCAGCACAGCAACACGACATGCCTCTCGCTCCCCACGCTTCAAGCAGCACAGCAACACGACATGCCTCTCGCTCCCCACGCTTCAAGCAGCACAGCAACACGACATGCCTCTCGCTCCCCACGCTTCAAGCAGCACAGCAACACGACATGCCTCTCGCTCCCCACGCTTCAAGCAGCACAGCAACACGACATGCCTCTCGCTCCCCACGCTTCAAGCAGCACAGCAACACGACATGCCTCTCGCTCCCCACGCTTCAAGCAGCACAGCAACACGACATGCCTCTCGCTCCCCACGCTTCAAGCAGCACAGCAACACGACATGCCTCTCGCTCCCCACGCTTCAAGCAGCACAGCAACACGACATGCCTCTCGCTCCCCACGCTTCAAGCAGCACAGCAACACGACATGCCTCTCGCTCCCCACGCTTCAAGCAGCACAGCAACACGACATGCCTCTCGCTCCCCACGCTTCAAGCAGCACAGCAACACGACATGCCTCTCGCTCCCCACGCTTCAAGCAGCACAGCAACACGACATGCCTCTCGCTCCCCACGCTTCAAGCAGCACAGCAACACGACATGCCTCTCGCTCCCCACGCTTCAAGCAGCACAGCAACACGACATGCCTCTCGCTCCCCACGCTTCAAGCAGCACAGCAACACGACATGCCTCTCGCTCCCCACGCTTCAAGCAGCACAGCAACACGACATGCCTCTCGCTCCCCACGCTTCAAGCAGCACAGCAACACGACATGCCTCTCGCTCCCCACGCTTCAAGCAGCACAGCAACACGACATGCCTCTCGCTCCCCACGCTTCAAGCAGCACAGCAACACGACATGCCTCTCGCTCCCCACGCTTCAAGCAGCACAGCAACACGACATGCCTCTCGCTCCCCACGCTTCAAGCAGCACAGCAACACGACATGCCTCTCGCTCCCCACGCTTCAAGCAGCACAGCAACACGACATGCCTCTCGCTCCCCACGCTTCAAGCAGCACAGCAACACGACATGCCTCTCGCTCCCCACGCTTCAAGCAGCACAGCAACACGACATGCCTCTCGCTCCCCACGCTTCAAGCAGCACAGCAACACGACATGCCTCTCGCTCCCCACGCTTCAAGCAGCACAGCAACACGACATGCCTCTCGCTCCCCACGCTTCAAGCAGCACAGCAACACGACATGCCTCTCGCTCCCCACGCTTCAAGCAGCACAGCAACACGACATGCCTCTCGCTCCCCACGCTTCAAGCAGCACAGCAACACGACATGCCTCTCGCTCCCCACGCTTCAAGCAGCACAGCAACACGACATGCTCTCACTCCCCACGCGTTCCCGCGACTCGCTACCGCCGGGGCGAGAAGCGCGCGTGAGGCGGCGCGAGGGGCAAGGGGGGAGGGGAAGCGGGCCGGATCGGCACCTTTCCAGGCGACGGCACGAGGGCGGCGGCGAGCGGTTTCTGCGCCTGTCCAGCAACCGCTGCAGCTGCTGCCGCCGCGCCTCCCGCT